GCAGCACGGCGTGCTAAGGAGAGAGTGACTCGGGCTACACGGCTCCGGCCCTCCGGCTGTGCCGGAGCAGCCCAAGACGTACACTGAGCCGGTCCCTCTGCCGCAAACCGGGTACGGGGCACTGGGCAAGGCCTGGGATTTTGGCCATTTCCATCCTCCTGGCCTCCTCCCCGCTGCCTGTGCCCCAGCTTATTGCCAGACCTCTTTGTTCAGAGGGCAGCCTGGTGCCGCTACACCCCACTAAACCCCAAGCAGCTCCACCTGCCATCTGCCCGTGGGTTGGGATGGGTTGGGTTGGGTTGGGTTGGGATGGCAGGCTCATTTCAGGCAGCTGTTTTCCTACCCTGGCCAGACTGGAGACAGGTAATACAGTTGCATGTCGTGGAAGAAGGGGAAGGGGCGGAAGAAAAAGACAAAAAGATGATTGGACATTGAAATGAAGAGCAATAATTTCAGGTCATGGAGACAGAACGAATGAGGAGTGGAGGTGTCTGCAGGGGAAATTAAAAGAACAGGCATAATTATGTCAGAGAATTTTCTATACCACTTGAATGACAGGCAGGACTCTCGATAAACTTGAGCTCTGCTAACACCTTGCATGCAGGTGAAGACCTTGAAAGGTGCACGGTGGGGTTTTGCTCCAAGCAAGCTCAGCAGATAGTAGGATCTATCACTTCCAAAGCTGCAGAGCGGTAGCAAGCCATCCTTCCTCCTCACAAGGCTGCGGGTGAGGGCCCAGCTGCCAGCGGGCACTTCCCCACAGAGCCTTTCTCTTGCCCCACAGGAACGCCCAGGGCAGTCCCACGCCAGCCCGCAGCAGGCACTTGTCTCCGTCACGGCTCTCGTGACTCACCAGCTCTCACGTGCAACCTCCAAGTGCCGGGGCTCCCATCCCCGAGCTCCCAGCCTGTCCTGGCATCTCACACGCCGGCTCAAAGCCATACCAGCTGCGCCAGCGCAGCGATCCCTGTTAGCTGCTGGCTACCTGAGACCGCACGAGGTGAGGGCAGGCCCCCTAGGTCCCAGCTACCAGAGTAGATGCCGGCACGATCTGTCTCTGTCCCTTCCCACCAGAGTTTGGTAGCGTGACATCCATTTTCATTTGTCCCCTCCACTGCCAAGGCTGCCTGTATGCCCCTGCTGCAATACGCCCCATCCCGGGCAACAGCGTTGAGAGACGCCCCAGGAATGAGCAGCACTGATTTCAGCTTCTGCAGAAGACGAGCTTCCCATGCAAGGCAGTTTTGGCACCCCATTTCTGACAACGAGCTCAGAAACAGCTCCGTAGGAAATGCTGTGAAACAGCACACGTCTCTTCTACCCCAGTTCCTGGGTGCCGAGCTACCCGACTGCTGCGCGGCCCTTGCCCCAGGGGTCTGCCTGCGTTGTACACCCAGTCGCCCAGCAATCGACTGCTCTCCCGTTCCAGCTGCTCTGCAGCTGCACAGTTAATTGTGGAGCCCATCGCTCAACAGAGATGCACGCCCCAAGCTTTAATGAAAGCGCAGACATCTGCATCACACCCTGCCGGGTCCAAGGGAGAGATCCCCTCTGTTAAACCCTGTCAAAAGCCACAGGCAGAGATCGTTCAGTATGGCATCTCTTGCCACTTCCCATCCAAGAGGCTTTGACAGAGGGTACAGACGAGAGAAATTCTTCAGCACGCAGCTCAAGAGCAACTCAACAGAGGTATCTCTGCCAGGGCATGCAGCTGAATCCCTGTTTTGAGAGGCAAGATTTACCTGACAGAGTCTTACGGAACACACGTCAGTGCTGGAAGCTTTGGCAACCGGTCCGCTCGCCGAGCCCACAGATGCCAATCCGCTCTTACCTTTATTTTTTACGTGCTGCTGGGCTCTGCCCCGAGCACAGGGTAACGAATGAAACCCTCCCACAACTTTCCTAACAGTGCCCTGCACCTTCAGTGTAGAGTCCTTCTGCATGTCACGGGATTAAAAGCTTCCCCCCCACTTCATATTTTAACATCTGACAGCATAGCCAATTAATTTGAGCTCACATCACTCAGTGATTGACTGCATAGCTTCTCGCTTGCATCAGCAAGAAAAATTGCGTTCGGGTTATTCATTTAAAAACTCATCTTTGCCAAGATGGGTTGAAGCAGTTGCTTCTGTTCGTGGAGGCAGAGAAATCCTCTTGTCCCACATCATTTTTGACAGCATATTGCTTCTGTGCCCAGCAAGTAAAGATCCAACATATGTGAGTTTTTCTTCCCCCTGTACAATTTACTGGCGTGGTCTCACTCTCAGACTCCAAGTTAGCGGTGGAAAAATGGAGTTTCCAGAGCTCTGGCTCTTAATTTTATTGCTGCACATTGTTGCTCTTGGAAAGACAGAACTTCCACTACACGATGGTTGCTTTTGCAAAGGAAATATTTTCTGAGCTGCTGAACACGTTAGTGCATGTCTAAGTTACGCACTGGTGAAAAAAGTGACTTCATAGTAAGTATTTTTTAGTCTCAGTTAAACGAGTGCAGGCAGATTTTTTTTCCCCCTTCAAGAAATAACTGGGAACACAACGAGGGAGAGATCACCTCTAGCACAGGACTCCTTCTGGTACTTCTCAACTTTACGGAGGACTTTCTATGGCAGGGCTACTCGCGACCTTGTGCACCTTATGAAGCACAAGCAGGTTAAGGACAATTGCTTTCAGAGCGAGGTTTTATCCAGACAGGAGGAGAGCTACAGGACGGATGATTTTGGCATTTGCCAAATGAAAGAGGAAAAAAGCCCATGATGTTGGCCTGACTGCCACATTCATCTGAAGTACATCAAGAGGCAGAAGGGTAGGAGAAGTGGAAAGATGAAGGGTTGGTGGGGGAACCAGGTGATCGGAGCCTCACGATCCCTGCTCTGAAGATGCTCCCCCAGCAGCGGGCCTCAGGATGGAGGTAACTCCTTCCCCAGGTCTGATGCTACCTCTTCAACACGCAACGGTCACTTACTGCCATCACTGCCGGTCTGCGTGTCCGAGTCGAGGCTGTCGGTGGAACCAGCCGTGAAGCTGACGTGGACGCTCCTGAAAGGTGGGCTGAGGCTCTCGGCAGAGCTGTTGCTGACCCTCTCCAACTCCGCGTTATTCGAGTTCATTTTCAGAGCGTGCCTAGAGAGAGTGAAAGAGAAGAGTCAAGAGACAGATGGCAAAAGACACCCTGCATGCACCCTGCACGGAGACTCAAGCTGAGAGCAGCCTTAGCTTGGTCTCTGCCCATCCATACAGACACTGTGTAGCCTTTCACCCTGCCACAGCACCTCATCCCTGTGCACTTTTCTTCTTTCTCCGGCACCTGAGGATCGCATCCCACTGGCACTGAGCAGGTTATAGGCTTGCAGCCCCCACACCAGCCCCCTGTGCCAAGCCAGCTGTGCTTGAGCCGAGAGAGAGCCGCTGAGCCAACAGCATCCAGCCCCAGTCTGCACCTCCTTTGCCTAGCACATGTCGGGTCCTGGGCCACATCCCACCTTGGCCACCGTCACTGGGAAGCGGGGACCCACCAGTGTTTGCCTTCAGTAAAGTTCTCAAGGGAAGGGAGTGGCATCACTCCTCCCATTTTACAGTTGGGCAGGTTGAGGCTGGATGTCAGAACCCAATTCCTTCATGGCGGAGGCACACGTGGAAGAAGAGTCCATGCCTAGCAGCAGTTGTCTCCTCAGTCCATCGCAGTAACAACCGCCACCTCTCGAAAGAAGCAGCCCCTTGGCAGAAAACAAGTGTCTGCCAAACTCAGGACCCACCGTGCAGCTTTTAATGTAAGACCTACAGTTTTCCCTGCAGCTTCCATCTAAAAAAATAAACAAACAAAGCATAAAGAAACTGGGCTTAGAACCTGCCAGGTCACAGTTTAAGTGATCAGTTGTAGGCAAGCAGGACTTTTTGCCAAGATAAAGGATTTCCCCTGCATTTTCTTCATTTTTTCCCCTCCTTGGAAAACAACAGAAACTATTGAAATCAGGCAGCGCCTCAGACCACAAACACTCCTAGCTTTGGTACAGTTCAGACTCTCTATCGGCCAGCAAACGAAGGTTATTGGTCCACATATTTTAAGTAAAACTGCCAATCTGCTGATAAAATTCAACACGTTGTTGATTAAGAATGTAAAAAGGTTAGCGGCAGACTTGTAAAAAAGAAAAAGGATTTCCACCAGCTATCTTGCTGGAAGGTATCCGGCGTTTCCTAATCAGACGGCTGAATGGCTGCTGGGAAAGACAAACAAAAGACGTGCACGACCGTTTTCTCGTGGCACCCTGTTCACGTGCGCGGGATCCCTCCTCCTCCAAAACCCCCAAGCACAGCAGATGCCATGAGCGGTTTTTATTTGAAGGTTGAGAAATGTTTCGTTCCCCATCCAGACAAAGCACTTACTCTGGTGTCCACACCACCACATGGAGAGCAGAGCGTATGAGAAGCCCGGAAGAAACTTCTGCCAGACTTCCTCGTTCGCCTGAGCAGCCTCGGTCTAAAAATACTCAGGGGCTGATGAAAATAAAGCTCTAAAAAACACCTCAGGTATAACTCAGCAGAGACACTGGTCTTGCACTAGTGATGAATTTACCGCACAAGTCTCTTGGGGATGATTTACAAGACTTTGCAATGCACCACACAAGTCACAGTTAAAGAGTTTAAAAGAGAGAAAGAGAGAGAGAGAAAGGGGTTTAGCTCTGTCACAATTAATGCTATTGAGAGCAACCAACTGGACTTAAATCCATTTTTTTTATAAGATATCTTTATGCTATAATGGCCTCAGACATTTAACTTTTTGTAATTCGGGAGGGAAAAAAACGCATGGGTGCACACCCATGCGGGTACACCGTCTGACCTGGCGAGAATCAAGGAAGCATTTGAATCCATAAGAAAAGAAGAAGATTTTGCAAGAGAGCCGGTCTCGATTTGCACAGACGAGAGGTTTTCTAACACATTCCTCCCCTCCCCGCCCTCCCCCCAAGAAAAGTTGGTGCGTTTCTCTTTCCTTCCCATCACCTAAACGCAAATCCGCAGAGCTGCCTTACCATTCCCGCACTCGGAGAGAGATGGGACTTTGCTCGGCGGGGTCCAAGGTCCACCGCGTGCAGCCACACCTATTCCTCCAAGCAACCTGGGCGCGACGCGGCCTCGGCCAGAGCCATGCTGGCTGCTGCCTTTGCCCAGCTCAGCGTGGCGGTGAAGTCAGATGCACAGAGAGCCGCGTTTCCTCTCCATACGGCCGTGACTTATGTAAAATGCAGTTCCTGAATAGGCACACCGAAATAGAAATTGTTTGCCGCTTAAACGACATCCTGCTCTTGTTTCAGATGTTACAGCCGGGCCAGCTAATACCGCCTGGAAATATCTCCGCTTTACATCTCCCTCTTTTCCTATGAGCTGCTTGAAGCCCCGGGCTGCAGCCTGCAGAGATTAAAATACCGCCCACTCTACCAAAGAATTACGGAAAGCACTTGCTAGGGTCAAACTCTCCCATTTCAGCAGAATTCCACCCCAAGAGCCAAACAGCTCATCGCTACGACAGCCTGTGGGATCCTGATTTACAGCTAACCCGAACTTCCCCCGCTTTCCTAGTGTTCCTTCCTCCACGCGTGACTGCAAGGGCACAGGTGGCCGTTCTCCGTCTCCCCCTTTTCACCAAAGGATATTGGAAATAAAGAGCATCAACCTGTCTCAAACCTGAAGAAATCATTGGGACTGCCCCTCTCCCGCCTTGGCTTGCCAACATCTGTGGGCTCCAGTCCCCTGCAGAAAGGTGTAGCAGTGGCTAATTTATCTCCATTTCAAAAATCCATGCTCAGCACCTTAAATGTAACCGGCAGTTTCAAGAGCAGCACCAGACCCTCCTTCATGTGCCAGTGCATAAAGAACAGGCCACAAGAGTCAGCTCTCTCAATCTAATAACCAAAAAAGACAGGATTTCCAGCTCTCCAAATTATTCTGATGGCTTAAAATACACTTCAATTACTCAACATCCTTCACGCAACACGCTGGCATATTCAGGCAGTCCTTCCCATTCACTTTTCCCATCCTAAACAATTTCATCCAGCCGGCTCTCCACACAATTCCCACAGTCCTGCCTAAAATAAAAGGTTGAAAATAGTGATCTTAAAAAAAAAACAAACAAACCAAACCAAACCCCAAACCATTTTGGAGTTCTATAACATTGCAAAGGGACCCGGCTCAGTTGCCATGCCCCACGTTGCATCTCCAGCCAGGGCATGCTTCGTCTTTCCCGTGCTCCTTCTCACCGCAGACGTCAGGACCTGAACGGGTGACAGAGACGCTGGGGTTTATAAATCATGCAACGGGGGAAGGCAGCAGAGGAGAGCAGAGAACACACACAAATCACCAAACCCCAAACTGCGCTCCAGGAGAAGCCTGGTGGTGATGTCGACAGGACACCCCCTCCCAAAATAAAATACTGGAGCTAATGCATGGCAGAGAGAAAAGCCAGACTGCATTACGGCCTCAAACACAACACATGGCTGGGCATAATTATTACACGAGAGGAAGCACCGTTGTACTGTATGCTTGTCTATCATGAAACATGAATAATTGTGTCTTCCTCCTCCCTCCACTGCTGTTTCTTCCAGCACCTTCCCCTGGATGCCCAGCGCAGTTAAAAACCGGCATACAGGAGCTTACAACATTGGAGGCTTGGATTTGTACTTATCCTTCTGCTACCAGATGGCAATGTGGAGAAACCAAAACTCGAGGTGATGGAAAGAGAGGATTTTGAAATGCTCCTAGCTCTGTCCAGAGGACCACACCGCTCCTCCCTGTACCAAAAAGGCTTTATGTAGCACAAGTTAAGTTGAAACAAGGGTTTGGAGTCTGGAGATGCAAGAGGAAATTTGGATGGGGTGCAGAATTAAGATGGTAGATGAATCACAAATTAAATCACTGCATGCTCCGATGCGGTGAAGAAGACAAGAAGTCTCATTTCAATTTCCAACTCTGTGCTTTTTAAAGCGGTAAGATAGGAAACACACAGAAAAGCGAATGACTTTCATTTTAAAAGAAACAAACTCTCCTAAAAGACAGGCTGATAAATCACAACCTTTAAAAAAATTATCCACTGGCAGAAGCAGCATGAGAAACTCCCGATTAGTTTCAGACAAAAAACACAGGGGGAATCCAAAAGGCATATTCCTTCCCCGTCCTGGAGCTTGATTCTCTCTCCCGCTTGAGCCATACCCTCCCTTCTTTGCTTTATTTACTTATTTAATTATTAATTATGTATTTAAATAGACTCCATCCAGAGTTTCTTATTTATTTATTTATTAGTATTTTAATAATAATAAATCTGGCTTGTCCTAGACCAAACAGCAAGTCCCTGCTGCCATCCACAGTCACGGAGAAGAGGGTCAAAATTTGGGACCCGTGTGACTTCCAGTCCCGTTTGCAAGTGCCACGGCAGCTCCGCGCAGCCAGTCTGCTTTTGTCACCGGGGTACACCCCGAGACTGAGCTCCAAAGAGAAACGGGTGCCTCGGGAGTGGTGAGGAAAAGGGAATGTTCTGTCCCAGGTGCAGTCCTCCTCCGTCACAGACGGATTCCTGGCGAGGAACACAGAGCACAGTCCCACCAGCCAGCCCCACCTCCCCGGTGAGAAACAAACCTGGCTCTTTTCCTGGTGATCCAATTCCCAACATCGTCGGGTTTTTGCAACGCTCTTGTTTTCTGTTCCCTCTGGCAACAAGCGGCGGCGGCAGCAGCCCCGTAACATGCAATCTTGGCACACCTCAAGCTCATTTGTCCTGGCTCTTTTCAGCGACGGCGGGTGTCGGGATGTGCCGTGCCACACACCTTTGTTACCCCGAGCGAGGGCATTCAGCAAATTTCAGAAGCTATCATCTACAGCGCTGCCTTTTGAAGGTGGCAGTAATGATGATGAAGACAGCTCAAGAGCCAACAGCTCAAGATGCAAACCAGCATCAGTGTTTCCTTTGTTTAAGAGGCACATGAAATAAATTAACCGTCAAGGTTTTGCAGGCTAGAAGGAACCAGGAGGATCATTTAGCCTGACCCTCTGCATAAGAGAGACATAAATTTCAGCAAAGATTCATTCCTCGTGCCAAGAAACTGAAGGCCACGCTAGAGCATCTCACACCGAAGAACCTTTAAATCATCATTGCACATACATGTCCTGGGGATCCTAGTTCCCCTGGTGAACACTTTCCTTAGCCAGCTACCTTCCCAGCTTTTGGAAGAAGACCAGCCACCATCTTCCCTTTCCAATTCTCTGTCCTCTTGTAATTAAACTCATTTTCCATTCCGTTTCAGACCAAGCAAACCTTAAATAGCTATAATCTTTCAAACAAGCAGGAAAAAAGGATTGTATGAAGAAACAGTCGCAAGAGGCCCAGAGTAGATTTATATAGGACAAAACAGGCACAAATTCATTATTTTCCTTTTTTGCACCAACTTTTGAAACTCTCTAAAAATTACTCCTTCTGCCATTCTAAGAGACAGCTTATGGCAAAACCAGAGTTTCCGCAGTCCCTGGCAGGAATTTACCCTAGAAAAAAGTTTTTTCTCTTTTAATTGTTAAAGCCAAGATGAACAAAACAAAAATCTACAGACTCACTTTTTCTTTCTCTGCTTTGAACCTAGTTTGAACACACATGCAAGTTTTCTTTAAAATAAGCAATTAAGTTTAATTAGGAAAGTCAAACAGGCAGGCTTCATTTTCCAGCATGAAATCAAATACCTTGCTGCAGCTTGAGATCTAGAAGGAAAAAAGGATGGTTACACACCTTTCCTGCAGCTGAAGTGAACCCTGATTTTCTAAGCCCCAAAGCTGTGCCGCAACCAGGTCTACGCTGGCTTCATCTCCATCCATCCATCCAAGGAGCCTTCGCAGCTCTGTCACCAGAGGACATCCTGGGCTGAGGTGCTCTGCCTCTGTGAAGGACTACGTACCCATGACCGAAGTACCGGTGGTTCTTCCACTACGGACCTGCACATGCCCACAGACCGCCCGGGTCTAGGAGAGTATGGATGTGTCTGAGAGTCATCTTTGTGTGCCAGACCTTTTCCCTTCTTCAGGCATTTGGCTGCAGCCTGGGAAGACCAGGGGAGATGTTCCTCCACCATCAGGTCAGAGTCATGTCATGACCCGAAGCTGCAAGCAACGACCGCCCGGGATAACACGATCCCGCGATGATGGTGATTTTAACCAGTTGTGCACGTAGCCATCCCTCCCACCGCCACACGCAGGTAACAACACCCTGGTTCCTGCATCGACACGCTCAGAGAAGCCACGCTTGAGACGAAAACAAGAGCACCCTCAAAGCAAACAAACAAAGCAACCAGCTGGGCGTGCGTGGCTTGCGAAACCCGCCATCTGATCACGTCGCTCCTCGGGCCAGCTGCGCAGGGGGTTGGTAGCCGGAGGGAGGGCTACGCTCTTTGAGCCAGGCACCCCACGGCCCAGCTGCAGGCATCAAGGTGTTTAGGAGACAAATACGTGTAGCACAACACATGGCCCACAGCCACAGGGGGGGAAGAGCGATGCCAGCACCTACCTCAACCACCTGGAAGGGTTTATGGCTCTGCCAGAGATCCCGGTCGTGGATGCCGCGTGTTCCCTGACCTCAGTTTCCCTGCCCACTTTCACCCAGGCTTTCTAGCACACAGATGCTTTTCGGATGACTCAGAAGCAACTGTTACAGTCGGCACAGCCCGATTGCACCGGGAGCGTGAAACAGCCCCTCCAAGGAGCAGAGAATGCTCCACGCCCCCCCGGACGGATGGTCGTAACTCCACGTGGAGGGCAAGAGCAGGGCGTGCTCCTGGCTTGGAGCACAGCTGATCCAAGTCACCCAGCCAAGGAGACACCCTGACACATCCAGGAGCCCCCCGCCTCCACTCCCAGCCCTGATGAAGGCAGAAAGGAGACTCCAGGCACTGCCAGGGAAGCATCCTTGCCCCCCTACAGACAAAGGGCTCTGCACGCCTGCTCCTCCACGAGCGGAAGGAGGTCCTAGCGCTGCAAGTGGAAGATGCTGCTGGGACATATATTGCTGGGTTTGAGTGCCACCGCCCTTCTGGCCTGCCCAGTGACTTCTGCTCTGCAGGGCAAGGAATAAGGTTCTGGGGGACTCTCAGCGGGCAGATTGGCATTTCCTAAACGACCACTGCTCAACAGCATCATATCGTCTCTGCTGGGCATCAACAATACCTCATGTGACAAACGCAAGCCCAAGCCACAGGCTGATAGGAGATACCAAGTGGCAGCAGCCATGAAAGAAAGTTCACAGAGTCAAAGCTAAAGCACATCTTCGTGTTCGCATTGATTTTAAAGGCAATAAAGCTCATCCGTGGGCTCGCTTTCTTGTGGACCTTTTCTTTCCTCTGACTCCAGCGGGCATGCAGCACCACGGCAGGAAGCCCAGCAGTAAGGAGAACTAAAGCCTCTTGTTCATCACTTCCCTTTCCTTCGGAAACCTAATTTGTTCACCACTTGGTCAATTTAAAACACTAGTTCCCTGACCTATCCAACCCTAAAAACGTTGAAAATTCAGTGTGAGAACAAAACAGAGGATAGGCCAACTCAACCGCAGTCTCCACCTGGAGGTCACCGACGCATAAGCTTGACCATGGACCCCAAGAGCAAGCTCTCTGAACACCCATCCCTTCTTCTCTCAACTTTTGAATCAAGGAGCTGGAGTCAAATCTGTTATGCGATGCACAGTTCCAGGTAACAAAACTGACGCACGCAATAAAGCAAATACAGGACACCCGCAGAATGAGAAAGTATCCCTTCCCAGTATGCTGAGAACCTAATCCATTAGTTGCATGGAAAGGAAATAAATTTTTCTTCCTCTATTTTATCTTTTTTTTTTTTCCCTTTTTTTTTTTTGGTGATACACACAGCTGCAGATACTGAATGCACACCAAGTATCGGAAGCCTGTTTTTTTAATTGCTTAGCAGAGCTACTTCCTTCCCAGATGGACAGCTCGCTCTCATTCACGTTTGTTTTCTAGAGCCTGCTGTCGCCCTGCCTGCAACCCTGACTTCCAGGAGAGCGGCGAGGGGAAGGCTGCCCGAACCCCCCGGCTCCCACACATCGCGAGCGCACGTTAGGCAAGCTCTAATTAATTACCTGCTCGCAGGCAAGGGGTCCTCCCTCGGAAACCGAGTTAACCTCGAAAGGAAAAAGACCTTAGAGCCAAACTGAAAATGAGGATTTCAGAGGCCCTTGCTATGAGCACCAAGAGTTGCCCAGTTCCATCTACAAGAGGAGCTCGCAACCCCAGCTTTTCTGTCCTATTCGACATCAAGGACCTGTGCTGAGACAGAATGAAGCTGACCTGGGAAACACCAGCCATCCCGGGCACGGACCTGGTTCTCACTTGAATATCGGGACCCAAGGCCAGAGCTTGCAGCCCTGAAGGGCTTTGGCAAGGACACGTGGCATTCGAACCAGGTCTTGCAAAGATCTGACAGCTTTTCAGAGTTAAAAGGCAAGTAGTTTTTCAGCCGTGAAGTCACCTCCCATGCTCCTGAAAGCCCACCTTTGAACAGAAAAGGAAGAAAAAAAGAACGGGAAGCACCTCCTAGTCAATGAATCCCTGCCGCAAACACCCCAATAGCAAATGGTTAATACACCGCCGCGCACACTCACAGGGCTGTACCTGGACTGCTTTTTCGGCGGCGGTGGCGGCGGTGGTGCAAACTCCACACCATTACTCTTGTCTTTAGGGAAATCAAAGGAGAAAGATGATGATTTGCTGATCCCAGTCTGTCTCTCCAGCATCGGGCCATCGTCCACAAGGTCGGCACCAGCTCTCCCATTCTCAGCTCCCACTACCCATGGGTGGGTTAAGAGCTCCTGCTCCTCCTCCTCCTGCTCCTCCTCCTCCTCCTCCTCTATCCGGCACTGCTTGGACCACGTTGGGGTGTAGTACTTCTGCCTCCTGTCATAGGACGAGCCTGCCAGGCCCCTGCTGGACTCCTCCACAGAGACCCCATTGACATGAGTGCACGGAGAAGGGGACGCCCCAAAGTCACCGGTGTCAGTATAGCTCCTCGGCGGCAGCTGAACACCAGCTCCGTCACGGCTGTTGTCATCACCAAACCTTGCCACTTGGGAGCTTACTGGGGGCACACGGTTCCCCTCGCTGCCCGGCTGGCTGGTTTTGGACATCTTTGGGGGAATGGCTGGACTCTCAGTAACTGAGGTTTTGGGAGGAGCTGCCAGATGAAATCTTGGGCTGTTTTCATTTCCAGATGCTTGAAAAATCTCTCCAGGCTCAATGGCAGGTGATGAAGTCCCAAAGTCGGGGTGGGAAGTCGGGCTGATACATGGCCACTGAACTCCCACCGCGGAGTCAGGGCTGCTGAGGAATATTGTTTTGTGATCATCCTCGGTGTGTGCTGCCATTATAGTTATCTTGGCTGCCACCTGCCCGGTGGAGTCCTGGTATTCCTTCTCCCCACCCAAAGCCCAGCCGCCATCCCTCCACGTCCCATCAGCTTGCTCCTTGCCAGTGCCGCGGGTCAGCTTCTCCGCTTTTGCCTGTCCGCCGACAGCCTTCAGCTGCACCTTCTTCCTCTTGGTGCTCTCGGCGTAGATGGGATCACCGCGGGTGGGCCCGGCGAGGCGAGGGCACTGCGGCTCTACCAGAGCCTGCTGAGGGGTGCTGGAACCCTCAGGCCGGGGGTCTCTGGTGACAGAGGGCTCTCCAGAGAGAGGCGAGTCCTCGTCCTCCCGGGACAAAGCAAGGGCAGCCGCCTTGCTGCTCCCCGTGCTCTCGGGGAGGGTGGCAGGCTCGGCGTGGAGAGCCAGCTGCTTCTTCTCTGAACACAGGGCATAGGGGAGAGGATCACCCTGGTCTTTCGTGATGCAGAAGGCCACGTTCACAGCTCTGCGCTCCTCTTCGCCGAACTTGACCGCTCTGCCACTTGGCCTGGGAATCTTGGGAGCATCCCGCTGCCTCCATCCGCAGGGAGCGGGGCTCTCCTTCTCGCACCGAGCCCCCTTCCCCTCCGCACAATGCGGCTCCCATGAGACAGGGCACTCTCTGCGGCAGTCTGTGATCGAACAGTACTCGCCCCCTTCGCTTTCAAAGCCGGAGGAGAGGGGACCGCAGTCGCCTTCCAAGGGGAGCGCTGCTCCTTCTCTGGCTTGGGATGAAGGGTTTCTGCTGGAGTTCGTGGTGCTTCTCTCCCCCAGGGCGGACAGATTAGGGCAGGGGCCCCGATGCGGCAGGGCAAACTTGTCTTTGGCTTGGTCCTCCTGCTTGCCCACCTCACCCACAAGCACCAGGCTGTGGACGGAGACGTTTCTCTCCACTCGACTCTCCAGGCTGCGCGGGCCCACCATGGAGTAGCTAGGAGGACAGCAAGACAAGCAGTCGCTGGGTGGGTTGTGAAGGAAGGGCTTTCTCACACCGCCGTTGCCAAAATTGTCAAGGCAGATCCGCTGCGCATCTCCTGATTTCAGAAGGAGTTGTTTGCCAGAAACCATGCCCCAGCTGACCTGCACGGGCCAAAGAGACAAGTGCACCGTCAGGATGTGCATACGCAAAATGAAAGAGAAATTAAAACAAACAAAAAAAACCAAAACACCACAACAAGGAAAAAAAAAAAAGAAAAAAGCCTAGCTCCGCAGAAAAATCCTCTGGCATTGGCTGTCTGTTTTGCTCTGTGCTCATCCCACCACTAACTACTGCAAATCTTTTCTACTTAGACTACACTTGTTCCGTTTCCCGGACCGTTTGCAATCCCAACCACGGCAATGCGCTGAGACGAGGCATTCTCCTTTCTCTTTCTATGGGTTCGCTGCCAGAAACATGTCCAACCTGTCATCCTGTCTGCGAATCACCGTGCAATTAAAGATTCAGAGAGGGAAGGAATATTTGCACCTCTCCCTGCTTATTTTCATTTCGTTTCACACTGCTGCTCCGGGGTCGCACGTGCCGGAGCACAGACACAGGCTGTCAGGGGTTACCCTGGGATAGCAGCGTGGCCGTGCTCAGCAGCAGGGACTGGGGAGCAGGTGGGGAAACGTATCCGAAATCCCTTCGTCTGAGGGAGCTCTATCCTGCTTGCCGAGGGAGGAGTGGGAGAGGCAGAGGGTAACACGTGCCTGCGAACCAACCTCCCCGTCCCAGGGTGGCAAAATCCGCTCCCGTAGCACAAAACTCATCCCGGGGCCAAATCCGCGTGCACCGATCAAAGCCCACCGACGCCGGCAGCCTGCGCTCGTGTGAACGGAACAGGAGCGAAGCAAGGGAGAGGAACGGGAGGCTAAGGAGAGAGCTGACGAGTCTCCTCCGGGGCAACGGCGGGAGGTGGGAGCACACCGCTGCCACGGGCAGGGTGACAGCAGCCCACGCTTCCCTCTGCTTCCCAGTGGGAATGAACCACCCATCTCCGCTGCAACTGAAACCACCGGGCTTGCCAGCTTGCAGGCAGGCAGCAGTGCCGCACCCCGAGGGCACCGCTGCTCGGGCAAAGGGTGGGAGCCCAAGGAGCTGGGCCCTTTCGTCCTCACCCACGAAGACCATGGATCCAGCTAGCACTGACTGCAACCAGACAGGACCTCTTTTCGGTATATCTTCCCAAGAAAATAACTTTATCCCGCATCCTCACTTAAAATCTGGAAGTTCCTAAACAAACAGCGTATTTTTTAAGCTCCTTTGCACATGCCTTGTGAGCAACAGCTCATTCAGCTTCAGCCAAAGATACTCTGAGAAACCAATATACGGCTTAAAAACCTGAGTCAAGACCAGAAGGAAAAACAAAGGGAAGGAAACGGTTTTAACAGATATTCCTAGCACTCCCGAGGAGAGGTAAGTAATGGGAAGTCATGCTTTGACTGGATTAATCATTACCTGTGACAGATCTGCATTCACATTCACATCCGCCCACGTGTCAGAAACATCCGAGTTTATCATCGTTGGCTTCACAGCAATTGTTGGCTTTGAGAAGGGAGAGGTATTTACACCTTCGTCTTCCAACGCGGGGCTCTCAGGCTTGGTCCTAACGCCATTCGGGAGCACGCCGCAAGCTCCCGCGTCTGGGGGTGTTCGCAGCCGATGGGAACTCTTTGGGTTGAAGCAGTTTTTGCAGGAGCCGGGCTTCCAAACGTGTTCCACAAAGTCACTGCACGCAGACATCTTCAAATCCTCGTGGGTCAGACCGAGAGCCCTCTGCGTCTTCTCCACTGTCCTCCGCTGCTCATTTTGCATTTGCTCTCCAGAGCCGCTCTTAAAGATTGCCTAGTTATCTGGAAAAGCACAACGCTGTCTGATTAGTTTGGTTATGCCCAAAAATGGGAAGATTTTTTAATAGGACAGGTGATAATTACACTTACTCTGCTTTCATCACAAAGGCTTATTGTTTACGAGGCTTTTTTCACAGCTTAGCTAAAGCCCACACAATCACTTAAAAAGCCTCAACTTCTAAGCATAGCTCCGTAATAGAGAAGACATCAAGCAAGCAGCATTCCTATGTGATTTCATTCCCTGTTTAATGAGCACGTATAACCAGCCTCGTGCAAGGTTTAGATCAAGGGCAGAGGAAAGAGGTCTTGGAAATTGCTGTTCACAGCCCCACGAGCGGAGCCAGGCAGGAAAAATTCCTTCTCCAAAGTGGCATCCTCTCGCTGGAAAATAAAAAAGCCCGGAGACACAAGGACCAGAACCAGCCCTTGGGTAACCAGGGGCCCCGCCGGCAGCAGCCTTCCTTCGCCCAGAAGCACCACTGTGATCGCTGCCGTGGTACACAAAGGCTTCTCTCCCCGCCAGAGCAAGGAGAAAGGCAATCGCCAAGGCTGGGGCTGGCACTGATTTGAGCAAGTGCCTGGCAGAAAAGCTCTTATCTGGTTTGCCAGGAGCCGCAAATAACAGTGTCAGCTGGCTGAAATGATTCATTGTCTGCAAGGGGAGAAACGTTTTGCTGTTGGATTCCTTACAGACAAGGATCCCTTCCCATCTTCCTTCCCCAGGAGGAAATGCCCCGGGAACAAGACATTCCTGCATTCCTGTGCCCCCCCTCCCCGCCCGGCCAGGGCCGATTGCACTCAGCCAGCAGCTACCTGGAGCGAACAACTTTGGAGATACTTCAGACGAGGACTCCCACAAAGCTCACTGGATTAGGGACGAGAAGATCAGAAAAAGCAACTAGAGGAGGAAAATTGCAGCCAGCCGCTATGGGGCCAGGGCACACAATGCCCCCTCCCCCCCCCCAACAGGGCTCCACAGAGCCCTTCCCCACCCACCCGACTTCAGGTCCTCATCTCCCGGCCTGCCGACCCCAACGCAAACTGAGGCTCCCTCCCCGAGGGTCTCCGAGCGAACGGGCACTTTTACACCCCAATCCTGGTGGCACACGAGCAAAATTTACCAGCCTGATCCTTCAGCGCTTCCTCCACGCAGGCATACCGCCATCCCACCGTAGCTACAGACCCCTTTGCACCTGCACGCACCTCTAAACCAGCCTGCGCTTCAGAAAAGCCTCAGAGGTGCCCTGGGCAGCCTCTCCGGCAGCCACCCCGCTGCACGGCGAGGAGAAAGAATACTAATAAAGAGCTCGGGTCGGACAAAGCGAAGGGGGGAGAGTCCCCGACCCCCGAGCATCACCTGAATCCAAATGCCACCTTTGGGGAAGGGAGGCTTTGATCGGCTAAAGCATTAGTACCTGCAGACTCGTTCTGCCCGGCAGGCTGATAAATTCTGATAAATCTGTTACATGAAAGAGCAGAAAAAAGGGGAATATCAATGGGATTCACAAATCAGATTGGTGCACGTTTCTCTCCTTCTAGGGAAGAGACTGTTCTAGACGGATTTTTTTCCCGTGGAGTTCATGGAGTCTGAATTAACCAAAGGACAGCAAATCACTCTTGGACATGCCTCAACACCTTCAACGAGATTAACATTATCTGCAGGGAAAAACATCTTTTTAAAATATTCTTTTCTTTGTTTCCTTTCAGATCTAGCAAGCAGTGTCCGGCATCACCCAAACTTGAACAAGTGTCCTGATGAGAGCCAGCAGAGAAAAAAGAAAAATCAAAGGGAGGAAAGCAGGGAGCGGAGCCAGAAAAAACTCTTCGCTTCTGGTTTAATAATCGGCGCTGCCAGCTGCCGTTTAAAGATCAGGGTTCCCCTT